TTCTGGCACTATGAAGGGCTTTCTTATATGTTATTAAACTATCTTTCCAGGCTATAGAAAACTCTTCTGACTTAGTGGAGCGCTCCTTTCCATTTTTCGTGATGCCTGCTTTAGGGAGCGGAGCTGCAAGCTGTACCACGGGGCTAGCCTCCTCTGTTTCGCTACCTTCTTTTTCAGAGGGGCAATGGTATCAAGTGTATTACGCAGGAAGGCTGCAGTACTATCAACAAGATTATCGACTTGTGTGGGAGTAAAGTTAAGGTGGCCTCCTTCCACTATGTTGGCAAACGGCACTGAAGTAGATAAAGATGGAATTATTTCCTTAAACTTGGTAACAGCATTGCCAGATAGACATCTGCTGTAATGGAATTGTTTCCCACATAGAGTATAATCCATTAATGGAAATTCAAAAGTTATTAGAAAATGGTCAGACAGAAGAGGGTTATGGGGAAAAACTATTAAGTGTTCAGTTTCGATGCCATATCTCAGAACAAGATCAAGAGTGTGATTAAAACAGTGAGTGGGTTTATTTACAGTTTGAGAGAAGCCAACTGAGTCTAGGTTAGAATCTGTCTCTGTGATTTTCATGGGCAGGATGTCAAAGCCTAGCTGGAAAGAGCAGTGTGTCTGGTTTGAAGACCTCAGAATTGCTTTTTGTAGATGATGTAGTTCTTTTGGCGGAATCAGACCGTGACCTTCAGCAAGCACTGGAGTGATTTGCAGCTAAATCTAAAGCAAGTAGGATGAGAGACAGCACCTCCCACTTGGATGCCATGCTGGAAAATGGTGGATTGTTCCTTTTAGGTTGAGAGTGCATTGTTGGCCCAAGTAAAAGAATATTTTTTTCATGAGTGAGAGTATAATAGAGCATGAAAATGACTGATTGATTGGCACAGTGGCACAGACATTGTACCAGACTGTTGTGGTTAAGAGGGAGCTGAGGCGGAGGGCAAAGCTTTCAAAAGCAGCCAAAATCAGTTTTTTCCACAGGCTGACTAGGGTTAGGGTAAGGCACCTTGCCATCCAGAGGGAGCTTGCAACATAGATGTTGCTCCTTTGCATTAAAAGGAGCAAAGGAGCAACATCTATGTGGGATCTCATCAGGATGTCTCCTGGTAGCCTTCCACTGAAGGTTTTCTGGACCAATCATACTGGCAGAAGACTCTAAAGTAGACCCAGAACACACTGAAAACACTATGGGCTCTGCTTTCCTCGAAATAGGGCATTAGTCTTAAACTATTGTCTAAACTAACACAAGGGCCCATATGGGCTTGTTCATGAATGATTTGCAAATTTTGTCACCGCAGACGCAGCACACTTTTGTGTCACTGTGGAGGAGAGGTGGAATACTGTACATTATTAGAGGGAAGAATACATGGTGAGCAGGTGGAGTCAGGGCTGGCTTTAGTTATGTCCAATCAAACCAGCTCCTCTCATCCTCTTTAAAGAGCAGGGTGGAAACCTGACTGACTGATGTCACTGATGTCATGACATGGAAATATATGAAGAAAGATTCTCTTCATGCAGAAGTATTGTTTATAAATATTCATCCAATAGTCTGCTAACCAGCCATGTGCCAACACAGTTTGACCATATTCATATCTGTAGCAACATACTGAGAACTAGTTTATCTTTTTTTAAAAACCATCTTCCTTTTATGAGCACCTTTGCTGGTTCTGAATTCTCATGTTTCTCCAGTGAACTTTCACTGCTTTTTCTTGGGGTTTCCATAGTTTTCCAGCACCACCTGTAATCATCTTATGTTCAGTTGTACACTGAGTGCAAATAACCAGTAAAAACAGGTAGCAGTAAACAAAATCTAAATAACTTTATATATGGTAAATTGTCCAACTTTGTGACATGTTTATTGGGAAAGTTTATCTATTACTTTTTAGGGCAGTTGGCCTGGTTTGTAATTTGGTGTAGAATACCACAAAGCCTAGATAAATTGCAACTACCTGGATTGGATGAAGTGCCAGTCAGCTGACTTTGCACTATAATTTCATTGTTGCTGTATAATCTATCAAGCAGATCAAATGAACAGCACACCCACAGTCAGCAGCATCACATTTAATATTTTTTAATGTATTATGTTGATAAAATGTGAATATTTTATTCTATGAATGAAAATATAATAACCCCCCAAAGATAATAATTATAGATATAATCTTAGACTTAACTGTTTACACATATATTGCACACACACACACACACACACACACACACACACACACACACACACAGATATCTAGTACTCCTGTAGGTAATTTCCTACACAAAACAAATGCACACAAGCCAAAACTGGAGCTGGGGTTGTGGTGTCAGCCTTCATGTGAACACAAGGCTGGCTTACTGTGATTAAAAATCTTTTACACCTACTGTAGTTACTAAGAACTCCGCCATGGCCGGTCTCAAGCCCGGGTGAGAAAGGAGGAGGGTTGGGTGTGGGGCCAGCAACCCCACCCCGTAAAACCTCACACGCTACAGAAACCAAAACAACAGAATAATCCAACCAGTGCTTTAATCTGGGAGATGCCTCTACAGGAGGACAGATGACGCAGATTGGTGAAAGCCGCATGGAAGCCAACCAGCTGACGAATCTCCTGATGTTGAAAGCAACAACAAAGATCGGAACTTGGAACGTACGAACCATGTACGAAACTGGAAAAGCAGCTCAAGTGGCAAGTGAGATGAAAAGATATAACATTCAAGTACTAGGAATCTGTGAGAGCAGATGGAATGGGTCTGGCATGACATCACTTGCCAGTGGAGAGAAAATCCTCTACTCGGGACATGCAGACGAGAATCATGACCACACAGAAGGAGTTGCCATCATGATGTCCCCAGTAGCAGCCAGAACCCTTATGGAATGGCAGCCAGGCTCTCCTAGAATCATGACAGCAACGTTCAACTCCAAGGGAAGAAACGTTACATTCATCCAATGCTACTCGCCTACTAACGACGCTGATGCGGAAGCAAAGGAAAATTTCTACAATTCCCTCCAGACAGTGGTCAATGACATCAAGATACTGATGGGTGACCTGAATGCCAAGATAGGAAAAGACAACCTTGGAAAAGAATTGATTATGGGAACCCAGGCCCTTGGAGAAATGAATGAAAATGGCGAGCCTTTCACGGACTTTTGCGCTTTTAATGACCTAGTCATTGGTGGCAGTGTATTCCAGCATAAA